CCACTGTCGCTGCAAACATGCTTAGTATGAGGGATTGCTGAAGAGTCAATGAGTCGATGCAAGCTGGTTTTCCTTAAAAAGAAAACATTGAATCAATCTGTCTGGATGATCTGGTTTTATGGTGTCTGTAGAGTCCCTTAATATCATTTGTTGTGAATTGGCACCAAACACGTTGACAAAATGATTAAAAGGATGAAATAAAGACCACAATGTTCACATAATTTAAACCTGACAAAAGAAATTATAAAAAGAAATTCTATGAAAATCAACAAATGAAGGTCAGACATTGCTTTTCAACCCGAGTTTCCAACCTTTTCTGCCTTTTGTTCCCTTTAGGCAAATTTTCCTACCATGAATTCCCCTCTCAGTGAGAAGTATTGATGATTGTCCAAATGTGCAACAGACTTAGTCTTTTAATTTGAGTGTTTCATTTTTATTGTTTTATGCTTTCCATCTAAAAAAACCCCCAAAAACCCAACCCAATATAAATATGTTGCCTGGAAGTTGGTAAGGAATAGAAAAACAAAATAAAATCATATAAACATGCATTTCTAAAACTAGAGCTCCTCTGAGTAACTCCCCCATAGTCACGAATTAGTTTGACTTTTTCATCCAGACCCCTGAGCTGCTTTGATGAGCTCAGAGTGAAAACCAGTAACAATCAGGGAAGCGGGCTTCAACTTGAACTGGAGTTTTCCGCTTGGTCCTAGTGCTAGACCAATATCTCTACTTTAGCATAATGTTGTTTTTTGGACATTAAAACGTCCTGGAGACGAAACACACATTTGAAAAAGTGAAGGGAGCCTGGACTAAAGCGACTGTTCAAGTCATGTTTAGTTTTCCAGCTTCTAGAGTCGATCTTTCTAGCTCTGTGTTTTGGCTCCTGATCCTGTTTCATACACATGAGCTGCTGCTGAGACCAAGCTTTCTGACACTGCAGCACATTTCTCTCCACCATCCCTGATAGTCTGGAGATTTCATTGGAGCCTGCAGAGATTCAGATGAAGCAAAGCAGCCCACAGCATAACACAGCCTCCTCCATGTTTCTGCTTTTCTGGATCTGCTTCATCTGTGAACGTAGAGCTGATGCTGACATAAAGCTGTTTGTCTCCTCCATTCATTCTTCATCCTGTTGAGCAGAGCTTGGCGATCAGGACGCCATCTTAAAAAAAAAAAAAAAAGGCACCTAATCTACTACCATTTCTTGGCCTGCAAGAGGTAAAAGAATGACTCACATAGGATTAATGACACACTAAAAACAAGAAAAACATTTGAGATATTTCAAAAACAAATGAATCTCTTATGCCTCCTAGGATCTGTGTTTGGCCTCCAGGTCAGCAGGAATGAGGCTATTGCTCTCTGAAGGTGATTTTTCTTTTCTCTGGAGAGATTTCTCTAAAAACCCTCCTCAAAGGATTCTCATGCAGGACTTAAACTTGAACACATTTAACTTTAATCTGGAAGCCATTGCCAGAGTGTAGAATATAAAATGGGCTCTATGGTTCTTTCACCTCAGTGAACTCTGAGTGGATTCTGTCTGAGAGGGTCTCATTATCTGGAGTCCATCTGTACGATGTCAAGTGGCCGGATTGCTCTTCAGCGCCGCCGCCGCTGCAGAAATGTCCCCTTTTATCAAGCCGAGCCTTCAGAAGAGTAGCTGTGATTATTTTCTCTCCAGGCTTCACTGCAGCTCATGCTTTTCTCTAACCACTGGATGCAAAGTTAGAGGATTGGGGGGGATTAGATACAATATTAGAAATTATAGCTCCTTATATTCTGGGTAAAAAGAACTATAGTTAATGGACAAGTATACACTTCTATTTTAGGGTTTAATAAGTCTTTCTATGGATGATGAAGATTACTGCTAACAATCAAAAAGGTTCATTTAAGCCAAAAATGTTAACGGGAACATAACAGGAAGGAGATTGAATCAAAGGTTCAGGATGTCAGAGGAAATCTAAAGTCTGAATACTGATGCAAAATGGAAAGAAGACATTTTATGTGCTTTAATTTCCAGACTCCTTTGCCTTTTATAAGGAAATAGGCTTCAAATAAACATAAATACGTATTACTGTACTTAAATAACGGAGTAATTCTTTTTAACGGGCTCGTTAATTCTCTACCTGTTGATCATGACGTGATGAAACGGCTGCAGCAGAGGGAAAATCATTGCAGAGAGAATCCGTCCAGCTGGAGAGGAGTTTTTTTATTAGGGACGGACTGATGGATGATTCAACACAGGAGGGAACACTGACCTTTACTCTGCAATAAACTTCATCAAAAAGAAGAAGAAAGTTTTATAAAGTTGTTTTGTATCATTTTAGAGAAACGCTTTATTTTAGTTTTGTACTTAAGTGCAATATAGAAGCTGTACTTTATTACTTTTATTGAAGGACTTCAATCGCTACCTTTACTTTCAGAAGTCAGCTCTTTGCTTTTAAATAAAAAACTTGATGACCTTTGACCCCTCTAGTGGCGGACCGCCTCCTACATCATTTCCTCTGTAGAAAACCACCCAATCACGTTGCTTTAAAGATCGAACGAACTTTTCAGCTGTTTTAGGACAGAAGGTCATTTCATGATGCTCTGACACCACTTCCAGGAAGGCCATCAACATAGAGCTACCTGCGTTAGAGAGGGTACGTTTGCTGTAAAAAGCTCAGTTTATGTTTTTATTAAAAGCTGAACCAGTTTTCACTGATTATCCGTCCATCTGTTCCTCTCACCACTTCCTGTATTTAAAGGAAGTCATTAAAGAATCAAAAGGATTTTTTTTCACTTTTTAATCCCCTAACTGAGAATCCAGTCGTGTTTCACCAACTAAACAAACTACCATGTCAGTAAACTCATGCAGCACATTTAGTCCTTTACAAAACCGAGTATAAAAACATTAATCAGCTAAACAGTCACAATCAAACCATTTGTAAGAACTAAGAATAGAAAATCTAGAAGCATAAATAGAAATTTGGTCCATCAAAGTGATTACTATATTATCATTTACATTAGATTGTTTTATTTTCCGTATCGTGGTCTGGTTTGTCTCCCGTGGCAACGGCATTCCCAGCATCAGTGGAAAGATCAGCTGCAGCTTCCCTCTTCAGGCGAGGCGCCAATAAATACGTCCAGAAAAGAGTTTAGTAGAAAATCAGCACAGTTAATGTAGAAAATGTGTCAAAGTTTGAACTACAGGAGGAAGAATACAAAAGGCACGCCATAGAAAAAGAGTCTGAATTCATCAAATCAGCCCGTCTGGAACTAAAGCGCCGAGTCTGGAAGCAGGAGGAGGATCACGGTCTGCAGAGATCCTGTCACAGCTGGAAAACAGGAAGAGCAGCTGATGGCATCAGGGTGGCTCTAAACCAGAGACTCCAGGCTGTCGGCGGCGGCGGCTTCGTTGTCGGTTTTCTCAGCTTCTTGCGTCCCGATGAGGCTCAGCAGGGCTTTGTAGAGGAACTGGTAGTGCTCCTGCAAAAACACACATGATCAGCCTGAATCTGCTAAACTCAGTGCTGCACAATGGCGTCAATCTGAGGTACGGCAAGCTGTTTTACCACATTACACCCAAAATGAACCAAATTATGGAAGCAATTCTTTACCATATTTGAAATGAAAAAGCATTTCCATAAATGCTTTTTCATTTTAAGAATGTGGCTGCATTGTTTGACTCATAAATAAAATTAGTAATCAATCATCATTGCATTTACATTTTCTTCTTTAACACTGCTCATCCTTTTACTTAATTAAATGAAAAAGAAAAAGACATTTGAAATTTATTTTTTAAAATGTACCCCAGCGAATACATACCAAAATTCAATTTGAAAAGGGAGCGCTGTGCACGTCTGCATTGCATTACATTGTAAGCGTGCCGGCGGGAAACTGGTTGAATTGTGTGATCGGGACATACTGAACGACCACAATGTGGCAGAGCTACTGAGGGAGGCCGCTGCTTTAGAGCAAGTGCCTGCTTCTAACGGACCTGTGGCAACGCCGACTGCTCCTTAGTTTCCCGCCCACACGCTTACAATGTAATGCAATGCAGACGTGCACAGCGCCCCCTACTGAACAAGATGAGTAGCCCGGTCAGCAAGGAAGAGCGGCTGCTGATGTCACTCTGCTGCCCCCGCCGCTCAGAAGGCTTTTTCTTTTTTGAGTTATGGACAGTACTCTGCAGGCAGAGCACGAAAATGAAAAGCAATGTCCGCTGTGTTTTCTCTTTGATTATGGCATAAAATGAGCAGTCTTAAAGAAGAAAATGTAAATGCAAACAGGATGATTGATTACTAATTTCATTTATGAGTCAAACAATGCAGCCACATTCTTAAAATGCAAAAGCATTTCTGGAAATGCTTTTTCATTTTAAATATGGTAGCGATTTGCTTCCATACCAAATGAGATAAACCATCAGTTATTTCAACCAAACATTTATAAAGCTGTGTTAACATCAAAGGAATTACAGCTGAATTATTTACACCCTTTATAGCTGATATAGATCTATATATTCCAGAGAACGGTATGTTTTTTTTTTTACAAAATGTTGAATAAATGTTTTCCTTAGAAAAAATGCGCATTCCTTTAAAACCCTGATTTCTAGATGCAGTCCAGCTCTAAATCATCTAGAATCAAACCATCGACTATGAAACAGAAAAGGTTTCATGTTGTTCCTGCAGTCAGCCTATAGCATTCTAATCTAGAAAAGGTTTCTATATCTAGTGTTATAGATCTGTTTTCCCTCCATTATAGCTCAGATCAGTAAGCTGATTGAAGCCTTTCCCCATCGCTCCGTTCCAACATGGACTCAGAATCCTAGTTAGTTTGAAATCAGGAAACTTCACTTTCTTATTTCCAACAGTTTCCTGATTTCAAACTAAGGATTTATTTGTTTTGGTGATTTCACAGCAGAGCTTAAATCAGACCTTTAAAAAGTCTTGAAAGGCATTGAATTCTTCAACATAAAATCAAGGCCTTAATTGGTATTGAAATGTCTTAAATCAGTCTTTCATAGGTCTTAAAATTGTCACCAAGTCATAAATAGGATTTTATTTTTGTAATTCAAATAAAAAATTAAAATAATTCATGATAATTTTTTGACATTTACCGAACGGCTTCGCTGGAAGCGTTACTAGTTCAATCCTGACAGCAGAACCGATAAAACAAACAGACCTTGGGGCAATGCGCAAATTATTTTTTTATCTGGACAACGTGTGGAAGTGTAAATGCAATGTAAAGAGTTTTCGGAATGGCTAAAAACAGAAGCAGGTTATGTTTATCAGGAATGGCGTATTTTGAACAAGAAGTCATTAAAGCTCTGCACCACGGAAATCAAAGCTGTGAAGAGTGAAAAACAAAGCGCCAAAATTCAAGTTACAGAGAACGGAGTGTTAGGGCCAGGTTAGAGATCTTTTTTCCTTCTATTATGAGAATAAAATCGTATTTTATGACAACTCTTACAAGAATCCCTGTCTTCCCTAAAATGAGGAATGTGGAGCATAGTTATCCTTTGGTAAATCAGGAAATCTTTTAGCAGCAGCATCAAACTGGGCAGGAGGTCAAAGTGGACTCTGGTTGCTGATTGGTGGAGCTGGTCGACCGTCATCTGTTGGGCGGAGCTCCAAGCTTTCTTTCTGAAACAGGTTGTTGTAGGATGACTTCATTCTCATAATTTTATGTATTTATTCTAAAATAAAAAATAAAAAAAACTCTAGCCTGGCCCTAATACTCTCTGGTAACAGAGAAGCAGCAAATATTTCTCAGTTATGTTCCTCCCATGTCCCTGCAAGGCCTCTACAGCATCTCCAACGTTAAAAAAAAGCACCAGTAGCACCAAATGTCAGATAAAGTTTGCCTACAATGGAAGCAGAGTCGGGATCAAAACAGAGTTGGTGAATTCCTTTCATTAAACATTTCCACTGGGTCAGAAAGTAATAGTTTATGTTCAAGGGGGGAAAAAAAGTCTTAAAAAGTCTTGAATTTAACTTGCCTTATGTTGTAGTAACCCTTTAAATATTAGTTGATTGTTCCTTAAAAAACTGTAAACAAAAATCTGTATGAATGATTGATACTTTAAAAACAACGAAAAGTGTAACCTCATAATATTTATTCCTGTAGATTTGCTGTCAGATTACGGAGAAACCCGCCTGGTTCCTGCTTAGTGTCTCCTTCCTACAGGTCTGAACATTTCTGCTGTTTTCCTCACAGAGGAGGATTAATGGGATGAAGCTTCTTATTTTCTAAAAACATCAGTCATGTGATGTTAAGACTGGAGGTGCAACTTAAAGGTATACTATGCAACCGGTGTTGATTTTCCAGTGAGGCTCCCCCCAGAGGGCGAAAGTAAAAGTGCACTGTTGTAAATATGCTCAGCTGTTCTCCTGGTTTCTCCGTCAAGCCAGGCGCCGTTGTTTTGAGCTTAGCAGAGAGGCGAACGCAACAAATGACCATGTCTACTGCGGTAAGTGACTATTTTGTCGTTTTGTTTTCATACATTATTTGTTATGCATGTGTCTAAATAACAAAGATTGTAGTTAGCCAAATTCTCGCCGTAAAGCAAGACCGACTCTCGCGATGCACGAGACTTCTGAGCCTGTGGGTGCGGGCCGAGGGCTCCTGCAATTGCAAGTGCGGTATTTCCCCTACAGACCACCAGGGCGGCCGAGAATACCTTTGTTCAACCTGAAATTACTCATTTAATCATCCAAAACGTTATGGAACACATTAATTAACTGAAAAATGTTGCATAGTGTGCCTTTAATTATTCTGCTCAATTAATCTGGTTATTAATCAGATAGCCAAAGGTTTCTTAAAGGGGTGATAGAATGAATCTATAGGGTATCTGGTCCTTAAGGTCTCTGAATAGGGTCTGTAACATTGGTTGGGCTGAAAATGGCATATTTGCTGTTCTATGAGCTCTAATGCAGCCTGGTTAAAAGTTCTAGAATGAAACGACAGGTTTTCTTCCTTTTATGGTATGATCATGAATATTTAGATGAGCCTGGCTCTGATTGGTTGGTTTACAACGAGCGAAGCTGCTGAGCAAAAACGCATCATAGCAACAAGAACTCACTCACTATAACATCAAAGTGTTGATATGGTAGGGTGACCAGACGTCCTTTTTTTTTCCTGAACATGTCCTGCTTTTTATACCTAAAAAAAATGTCCGGGGGGAATTTCAAAATTGTCCGTGATTTTGGTCGATTACAGTGAAGCAGAACTGACCGTCAGTTCTGGGGCTGGTCCGGGAACCCAGGCGGACGGGGGCAGAGAGCCAGCCGGGGGACAGAGCGACCGAACCCGTCCCGGTGACGGTAGCCTGGACACTGGCGGCCCGTGGCTTACCCCCGCCTGCCTTAACGGCTCCCACCATCCTCCTCCGGTTGAGGACGGGCGGCTCATGGCTCTCTGCTGAGGTCCGGTCCAGTCAGCAGCCCAGCAGTCGAAAGTTCATACACCTCCCCCCTCCCTTGGGTCAGTGATCCTATGGGCTGGTCTGTATGTCATTTCGGGGCGTGACCAAAGTCCAGGCCAGAACTAAATAAGGCAACATCCCCGAGTTTACGTCAACTCTGTGCTTCGTTTGGATTCACTGTTTTATAGTGGAAGTTTAGAATAGTGAGATTTGCAGAGAAAGGAGGTGTTGATGGGGTTTGAACTTCTCTTTACGTCCATTTCACCCAATGGACTTATTCATCTATGACAATGGAAACTAGGTTTTGCATTCTAGTACCCCTTTAAAGGAGACTTCAAGAAATCAAACCAGTTGAAACTGAAACTTCAGGAGTTCTGGATTATAGAGCAGATTGATTTTAAAAAAATCTTTGCATATTTTTATATTGGTATTATTTTTTGCTCTAAGTGGGTCCCTCTGACAGCTAAATGTTTTAGAGTCTCTATACTCCAGCTAACGATTAATCGATTATTAAGTTAGTTGACGATTGTTTCAATTATAGATAAATCTGATTAATCGTTTCAGGCCTTTCTATGACGTTCATAAAGGTCCAGGTTAAATATCCTTTAAATGTCCAAATTGTATAAAGTTTTGTTATTTGTTTTTCATTTATTGACACGACCAGCATCAGACCATCGATCAGATGAATCGANGGGGTGATAGAATGAATCTATAGGGTATCTGGTCTTTAAGGTCTCTTAATAGGGTGTGTAACATTGGTTGGGCTGAAAATGTCATATTTGCTGTTCTATGAGCTCTAATGCAGCCTGATTAAAAGTCCTAGAATGAATTGACAGGTTATCTTCCTTTTATGGTATGATCATGAATATTTAGATGAGCTGTGAGCTGATTGGTTGGTTTACAACGAGCGAAGCTGCTGAGCAAAAACGCGTCATAGCAACAAGAACTCACTCACTGAAACATCAAATTGTTGATATGGTAGGGTGACCAGACGTCCTCTTTTTCACGGACATGTCCTGCTTTTTATACCTTAAAAAATGTCCCGGGGGAATTTCAAAATTGTCCGTGATTTTGGTCGACTACAGAGAAGCAGAACCGAGCCGTCAGTTCTGGGGCTGGTCTGGAAACCCTGGCAGATGGGGGCAGGGAGTCCCCAAGGGACGGAGCGACCGAACCCGACCCAGTGACGGTAGCCTGGACACTGGCGGCCCGTGGCTTACCCCCGCCTGCCTTACCGGCTCCCAGCCCCCCTCCTCCAGCTGAGGACGGGCGGCTCATGGCTCTCTGCTGAGGTCCGGTCCGGTCAGCGGCCCAGCAGTCCACACTTCATACACCTCCCCCCTCCCCTTGGTCAGTGATCCAGTGGGCTTGTCTGTATGTCCATTTTGGGGCGTGACAAAAGTACAGGCCAGAACCAAATAAGGCAACATCCCAGAATTTACATCAACCCGGGGATTTGTTTGAATTCGACCCTTTAATGGTAGAAGTTTAGAATAGTGAGATTTGTAGGATTTGTAGGTTTGAACTTCTCTGTACATCCATTTCACCCAATGAACTATCGTTAGGTATCTATGATAACGTAAACTAGGTTTTGCATTCTATGACCCCTTTAAAGGAGATTTTTCAAAAAATCAAACCAGGTGAAACTGAAACTTGAGGAGTTCTGGATTATAGAGCAGATTTCAAAATGTTTACATATTTTTATATTGGTATTATTCCTGCTCTAAGTGGGTCCCTGAGTTTAGCAGATTCAGGCTAAAGGCTGTCAGCTAAAGGCATGTTTTAGATCAGCAGTCACCAACCTTTTTACAGCTGAGGGCTAATTCAGGGGCACTGAGTCACAGGAAGGGCTACCAATACTGACCTATGAATTGCAAAGGGTCAACGTTCACCTAATCTTTATTGTTTCTTTAAATTTGTAATTTTCTTTTAGACATTTTCATTTTGAAATCTCTATAAATGCTTAAATGCCATATATGATTAAATGATGAAATGTTCTATAACTGATTAAAAAAAGAAGAGCAACAGAATACAATGAAATTTCAAATGTAGCTCACTGTCGAGTTGTTTTCAGAAGACTCTAAGGGCGCCCCTTGTGGTCCCTGAGGGCCCCTTGGTGCCCACGGGCACCATGTTGGTGACCCCTGTTTTAGATTCTGTATACTCCAGTTAACGATTAATCGATTATTAAGTTAGTTGAAGATTGTTTCAATTATAGATTAATCTGATTAATCGTTTCATAAAGGTCCAGGTTAAAATATCCTTTAAATGTCCAAATTGTATAAAGTTTTGTTATTTGTTTTTCATTTATTGACACGACCAGCATCAGACCATCGATCAGATGAANAAATATCCTTTAAATGTCCAAATTGTATAAAGTTTTGTTATTTGTTTTTCATTTATTGACACGACCAGCATCAGACCATCGATCAGATGAATCGATCTGAATATTAGTTCCAAGCCGATGGCCGGTTTAATAAATTGGAAACATTGTGAATTGATGCTATGGAAATAAACCAAGCAGAAGTTACTGTGCAGAACATGGATCTTCATATTTCATGGTCCAGACGCTAAACTTTGGGTTTTTAATCCCATGTTGGAACCCATTCTATAGGATTTAGATCTATAGAGATGTTTCTGCAGGTGAGCTGAACCTCGTTTCTAAACGGAGAAAGAGAGACGTACGACATCGCTGAACGCTCCTGGCCTCAGAAGGTTCGTCAGTCTGGCTGCTTGGAAAACATCTGCTGAGCCTTCAGCATCAAGCTGCTCCTTCAGGGAGGACAGAGCGCAGAACGTCCCCGCTGTGGCTCCGCCCACACTGCAAGGACAAACCCTTCATTAGATCGTTGGGGGCGGTAAGCGAACAGGTAGGCTAACGGCTGGGCGGCGCCTCACTCGTCATGGACCACAGTGGGGCCGTCCTTTCCGCTCCTCTCTTCGTTCATCAGGCTGATGAGCTCAAAGCTGTTACTGATGGGACCGTCAGGGTTTGGCCAGCAGGGGGCCAGGAAATGCTTGACCTCCAAAACGAAGTCATCCTGTTCAGAAAAGGAGACAGAGACGCGTCAGCCGGAGTATCCGTAGGTTTTAAGAGCAGAACAACGATAAATCATAACGTCTCATATGGCTGACGGCTGCAAACGGCTAAAAGTACAGAAACAGTGGATGATGCAAACTTCCACACACACTAAAAAAAACGCTGAGAAAAGAAACAGCAGCAGCAGCATTGCTGGGGAGGGGCTGGAATCAGACCCCAGTAGAAACCAGCATGTTGACATCACTATGATCATCAGTTTATTAAGGCATGGTGGAAAAGCTGTGTTTTGGGTATAAACTAGTGTTGCGCCGATGCCATTTTTTGGCCCCGATACCGATACCTGGCTGTGCAGTATCGGCTGATACCGATACCATAATAATGTAAAATAATTGCCATCATGGCTTTGTCAAGCTGCTGCCTACCTTTGGGAAGCAGGAAAAAATCTAATACAAAGTGAATCCAGTAGAACTTTTTATTGCCT